ATGGCAAAATTAAATATGGGTCAAATTGCGGCCGCGATCTATTTTGCAGTTGGAATGATTTTTTAAAATTTATTGGCCCAGGCATGGCTGAGTGGCAAAAATGAAAAATGTGCCGAATCGGTGCGACGATTATTTCGCAGTGTATATGATTTTTTAAAAATGTTCTATTATTATTTCTGGAAAGAACACGATCTCATCTATGGATTCTTAAAATTTCAGATTTTTGTGCATGTTCGTTCGAGCACAGAAAATCGTCAAAGTTGCCTTTTGCAAAACGCCTATTTCGTTGTGCCTGACCTCCCTCTTTTGAGAAGACGGGGCTCAATGTCTGGGCCTGAGGGCCCGTTTGCAGTTCACATGGCCTCACTTCTTTTTGGGGTCCGCTTCTACCCGTGGTCCGGTCCAACGCCTCCCACTTCTTTTTGGGGTCCACTTCCACCCGAGGACCGGTCGTTCCTTTTTCCAAAAGTCCCGGTTCTAGAAGAGCTAGCTGTAAGTAGTCCGCAGTTTTGCCAAGGACCGGTCCCCCAAATTTTTTGCCCCCTAAGAACCCACTTTGCGTCCTGGTCGCCCGCCACCGAAAATGCGACACCTTGACACAGACGCGGAAACACACTATACCGCAGCCTAAGGGCTGCGAATACACCTGAGTTAGCAGCCTTGATTACACCGGAGTTTGCAGCCCCTAGGATTGCGTATTAGAGGTGGACCCCTCTGCCTGTCGGAAGCTTTTCAGGCAATATGGAAACTTCACATCCGCTTGTCTCTGCTCTCACCCAATCCCTAGCTCTCCTTTCCACATGGGATGGCCGAACCGAGGGAGGTGCCCCTTTCCTACCCCCTCAGAATGGCCGAACCGCAAGGAACGGGCAAAACAAAACTGAGTGAAAACTGATGCCATCTCATATCTGATCGTTTTCCAAAGCTTTGCCGCAAAGCAGTGGGGTCCACCTCTTACACCTGAGTCATTTTCCTCATTTGTTATACCGGTCATTCATCTTGCCTTCATCTTGTCCCAAATTGTCTACTGGGTGGGTGAGGGGAACGCAGCCCTAAGGTAGCCAAAGCAATGGGACCATGAGCGCGCGCGCGCGCGCGCGAGAGAGAGAGAGAGAGAGAGAGAGAGAGAGAGAGAGAGAGAGAGAGAGAGAGAGAGAGA